ACTGGCTGCCACAATCTAGTAAAGCCCTCAGCATAAAAACCTTGTTATTGTTTGTCATTTTTACCAACGCAGTAGAAAGAACGGCTTGATTTGTGGAGACAGCAGACATAGAAACAAGAGAAGAGGGGCTGGGTACGTTTGAGTCAACTGTAATGTTAGGTAAGTTTGCTTCACTTGTTTTTGTAAAATTATTATTATTAGTAGATGTTAGTTCTTGTAGGTTTTGTTGTGGTGTAGTTTTGCTTTGTTGTGGTATAAGTTGTTGCATGCGTATAATTTGTGAGGAATGTTGTTTATGTAATAGAGTGTTGTGTTTTTTCTTGCAAATTCTACAGCCACTCAACTTGCACTGAAATGCCTGATGGCCGCCGCGAAAGCAGTTGCTACATAATTTTGATAGGGAAATCTTAGAAATACGCTCTTCAACAGGTAAAGATTTAAATTTTAAACACTCATATAATTTATGACCTTGGTTACAGATTGCACACTGCTTGTCAAAGGAGGACTGGGTAAAAGAAGTAACAAATGAATTCGTTTTTGTTGCACTATAACGTTTTTCATTTTTGAATGACCTATTAGCATTCATGGTTTCCAAAACCATTGCGCGTTGACGAAGAAATGAATAGAACTCTTCTAAGTTAGGAGAAATTGTATTGCTTCGAAATTCCTCCCATTTCCTAGCAGTCGCACTGTCTAAGCTTGTCGAGGCAATATAAATAATAATTGTATCCCATTTGTCAGTGGGTTCACCTAAAGAATTTAAAGCACTCAGATTTTTCGATAACGTATCAATTAAATTACGAATGCCAGCCTCAGTCTCTTTATGCAACGGTTCAATTGAAAATAGCCCCTTTATGTGCTCATTTATCAATAAACGCTTATTATCATACCGTTCGCAAAGTAGTTGCCAAGCGGTTGCATAATTTTTAGAAGATACAGTAACAGAGTTAATGACAGAAGAAACATTTCCCTCTAAATATGATTTAAGGTAATGAAATTTACTAATATCGTCAATATTTTCATTGTTGTGAATTAAAGATAAATATGTATCCCTAAAGGAAAGCCACTTATTTGGAGCGCCGTCAAAAGGTGGGATTTTTAAAGGCGGTAACTTTAAATTGCTATAACTATTACATGTTTGGTTGCATGAAGATTCAACCCTATTTGAATTTTCGAAAAACTCTAACAAGGATTGAGCTTGAGCAATCAAATAAAAAAATGAATTCTCTGTTGTCTCGCGTTCTTCTACTTGTTTGCCAGTGTCTTCATCCAACATCTCAATTTTTGATTGAACTTCCTCAAAGGTACATGAAAGGTCACGTAATTTATTTAATCGAAGATTGAGCTCATGTATCTTCAATGTATTAGTTTCTTTGCAATGCATTAAGGGTGTTAAATATTTTTCAAATAGAGTAAGTCGAGCTCTAATATGACCCCTTTGTTTAATAAGTTCTTTTAATTCACTCATTTTGACGGTGTAAATAACTTCGCAAAAGGTAAATATACAGGTAATTTAGTTCACACTAAATGTAAAATGTTAACAATAAACAGTGAATACTTTACGTTCAATGAAGCGACGAGTTAAGGCGCAGGTTGAGCAAAATGTCGCGCTAGTCGTTATTTGGGCGGTTTTTAGAAGCTATCTACTTTTTATTTAAAAGATATATCAACAAATAAAAAACACATTATATTTCTACATAATCTTGATTCCATAAAAGCTATATCCAATTTTTTTTAAAACGAATAAATATTAATATAATCTCCTTACAACGAAACCACATAAATGTGAAATTATTATTGATAACATGGATCTCCTCGTAAAGTAAGTATTATTTTATTTTGCGATTTACACCAATGGATAGACAATTTATTAATAAACATTTCTATAGTAAATTTTTTTTCAAAAGACCAAAATTTGATTTTATTAAGAAATTATTTTAAAATTTGGGCATATTCACTGCTCACGGGCTTGCTAGAGTCAGTGAGCCCTGAGCTCTTCGACGCGAAGCCCGTGTCGTTAGAGCGTCGACCAGCGCCGCATACACTCACGTAATATCAGTCGATAAATAATATTACTTATTAGGTTATTTATAGGTAGTATTATTTGTTTGTTTTGGGTATAATTTTTCGTATTAGTTATACATATATTTGTTGTGTTTTTTACTGCGCGATGAAGCTTTTTGCGTGTATTTTCTTTGAAGTAAATGCAAATAAAAAAATGAAGCACCATTGGCATGTAAGGTTCGAATCCATAATTAAAATTTCGATAAATATTATAATTTACACTATAAAAGGCTAATTCAATATTATCACCCAACCACAATATCTTATTACGTACAGTACTGCCTCGTTGGTCTAGTGGTTGTAGTAGTGCGACTGCTGATCATTAGGTCCCGGGTTCGAATCCTGGGTCGGGCCCTGTCAGTTATGAGTTTTTCATTTATGTTCTAAGTTATAATTAGTATTACTAAGTTATAGTTTTTTGCTAAAATATAGTATATTATTTATTGCTTGTTTTTTCTTCTTTTTCAAAAAATAATTGAGTACATAAGGTGTTCTATACTTATAATTCGGTAAAAAGTATCTAAGTAGGTACTAATATACCTACTTTTTACTACTAAAAATTTTTAAAACTAAATTTAACTAAAAAGACTAAACTGACCATTTATTTTTTAACTCAAAACAGGACATGGGTTTATTTATACTCTAAAAACTATAACTTTATACAATTAGTGTTCACTGTAAAATTATATTCGGTATAGACGGTAATTATTAAATGCAACATATTTTTCTTAATTATTAATTACATTTGTCAGTGGATTAAATTTTCTTTAATAAAGTTGGTGATGATTTTAAATAAAAATAAAATTCTGCTCAAGTTTTTTTATTGTTATCTTTGTTAACAACATCGCCTTTAGAACTCTGGAACCGTAAGTGTTTCTTTCAGACGTCCACAATTTATTCAAAATAAAAAAAATACTCTTTCTACCGGAGCATTCGTAGCAGGTAGACATAAAATATATTCGATTAAAAAAAAATATGTTGAAGATTGTTGACTTTGAATACTTCCATCCAACGAGTTACGGGACAATTTTGTGTCCCGGAGCTTTGTTTGGGGACAATGGGACAGGTGACCGAGAAAAGGGACAGTCCCGTTCAAAACGGGACGTGTGGTCACTTTAGCTATAACCCGGCGACGGCTACGTGGGGCAGTGGCTTAGCAATTAGTTGTTGCGCTGGGGGCCGCGGGTTCGAATCCCGCACGGAACAAGTATTTGTATGGCTTACAAATAATTGTTCCGGGTCTGGATGTTTGTCCTTGTGCAATTTATGTTTGTAAACTGCCTCCACGACACAGGAGAAAATCCTAGTGTGGGGGTAACGTTTTTTTACAATTGAAATTGAAAGATTGAACCCTTATACTTCTTGTTGATTTTTGTATTAGTACTCGTAGTTAGGTATATTACTTTTCAATACGTGACACGTAAAAATTAACAATAATCAAAAACACATCTACGAAACATCCTATTTATTTATTTATTCTTTATTGCACCAAATATTTGTACAAAAGGCGAGCTATATATTTATTTACCTATAGTGAATAGGTATCTTTTAAACTCACAATTTTCAATGCTTCATTTTTAATATATAATTAATTATAAAATTTCATAATTAGATAATATATGAAAATACATAATTCTAATATAATGCAACTAATATACCGAATAAAAAAATTAAAATACATTTATCGTTGTACGCTGTGTGTATTTCCATAAATTAGTTCATTGATGTTGAAAAAATAATACTACGTTCGTACCTACAATAGGTGGTGGCGTCGTACATATTTCAAATAAGCAATATATTGAGGCGCGCGGCGTGCCGCCGGCAAAATGCTCAAGGTCGTTCGCATGGAGTAGCCCCTTAATAAACCGGTTTTGCAGGCGATGATTGCACGACGATTGATATTGTTCTTGTTGCAACAGCAAATCTTCGTTACAGGAATACGCCTGGAATAGTCGGCAACTATGTTTAATATCTACAATTCCTTTAAATCTTTTTAAATTGGGGCGTTGCAAAATAAATATATAGATTATACCACTATATTTAGAATGCAATATGTTTTCTTTAATTGCAAACTATAAATAAAATAAATATTAAGGTTATTTTAATTGTTTTACAATTATGAACACTAGTTAACTTGAATTGCAATGTTTGCGTAATGATATGAAACTACTATTATATATTGTTTTGTTAAGAATGCTTATTTATACTTAAATTGACGTTGCATGTAATAAATTATTCGTTAAATTGACGTACAATGAACGTAATTCAATTACTAACAAGTAATAATTTTAGCGTTTTTATATTTTGAAGATGGCGGTAGATGTATGTAGCCAAAGGCGTTGTCCACGTTAAAGACTACGCAAATTGAAACAGGTAGGATGGATAAATAGAAAGGAAAATAAAAAAGAACTTCCCTCGGAACAATGGCTGCAGCTGGTGGCTGGCGGATTCCTTGAGGTTGGGTTCGTCTTAGTTCGGTATATTTTTCGAAATCTTCGATATGCTGGATGTTTTTCTCGCATAAATCACGTCGAGGTCACCATATTGATCACGCTGGTCTTCAATTTCTTGAGGATATTGCAATGAAAACTCCGCAAATGAAATGCAGTACATTTAATATGCTATTTAATTAGTAATTACAAATAATTAAATTTAAAGCTTGTTGCTGTGTGCGGAGCTCGAAGCGTAATGGCCGGGACCGGCCAGTTCGTTCCCATGCGTGACGTCACTCTTGGACGCGTTCAAGATTTAACAAGTATGATTGGATGTTTTGTGTCATAATTGTAGTGTGAATTCCTTAACCTGCCTCCAACTCTCATCACACCGCTGTTATCTATGAATGGTATCAGAGGACTTAATTTATTTTTAGGTGACAGCTGTTTATTCTGTGTAAGAATGGAATATTCAACAGGAAATAATTCTTGTTGAACCGTCTTTCATAAATAATTATTAGCCATGGTAAGTTCCGAAACCTTTAAACATAAATTTAATTTATTTGATTTGTTTCGAATATTGTAAATAAATCTAAATACATAAGCTGTTACATGTAATAATTTTGTAAAGCTTGAATAACGATTAATCAAATTGATTGTGAAATTATTATTTAATGATAAATGACATCGAATTTTTGTTTCAGGTAAGTCAGCTGGTTGAATCACCTGTGGCTGCTGCGGCCAAGACGATTCGTCGTGTGATAAAAATGAAGGACCTGACCACCAGAGATCCGCATTGTTCAACTGAGCTGCGTTCAAACCTCTGGACCCGATATCTGCTGGATTTAACTTTGTGGGAATGTATCGCCAAGAAGATTGATCTGTGTGTTCTGTGATTTCATTGATTCTATTTAATAAAAACAATTTTAAATTCGATTTAGATGTTTTAATCCAACCTAATACTATGATAGAATCGCACCAATAGATGCTATCTTGAACATTAAGTCGTAATGAATTTTTTACCTTGTTAGCTAAACGTGACGCCAATAGCGCACCGCAGAGTTCTAACCTAGGTGTGGATAATTGTTTCAGTGGCGCCACCTTGCTTTTGGCTAATAGAAGTTTTGTCTGAATTTTATTGTTTTTATCAATTGATCTGAGATAAATACAGGCGCTGTATGCCTTGCAGGATGCGTCACTGAAAGCATGAATTTCCATTTTAATGGGTGAGTTACATATTATGTGTCTAGGTACCTTAATCTTGTTTATATGAGTTAAATATTCTTTAAATATATTCCAACTGTGTAAAAGTTCATGGGGTAATTCATCGTCCCATGATATATTTGCAGCCCACAATTTTTGTAATAATAATTTTGCTTGTAGTATACATGGACTGATAAGCCCTAATGGGTCAAATATTTGAGCAATTGTTGAAAGGACTGATCGTTTACTAAATTTTATGTTTTTTATGTCAAATGTAAACCTAATGTTTTAGCGCAACTGTCATTGTTTAAAGTTAATAGTTCGTCTGTTGAGTTATTTTGTTGTATAGTGTCCAAAATAAGTTTACTATTAGACTGCCATTTGCGTAAATTAAACTGCCCTGTTTGTAGTTGTGTAGTAACGCCCTTGCATATGCGTATAAGTTCTTGCATTGAGTCATGGCCTGAAATGTAATCATCCACGTAAAAGTCATGAAGTATAGTTTCTTGTATGTGTGTATCTGTGCACTCTTGGCCCAACTGAACAAGACATCGTGTGGCGAGATACGGGGCCGATGCGGTCCCATAAGTAACTGTATTTAATTTATATTTCTTTACCTCCTCAGAAGGGTTGAAACGCCATAAAATTTGCTGTAAACAGCGTTGATTTTCAGTGATAAGAACATTTCTATACATTTTTTCGACACCAGATGTCACTACGAATTTATGCTGACGAAATCTTATTAATTATTATACTAATAGGGTCATCTTGTACAGTTGGCCCAACATGCTGGATTTGATTAAATGAAATACCGTTAGATGTCGCTGCGGAAGCGTCGAACACTACTCGCAGGTTGGTTGTTAGACTGGATTCTCTGAACACCCCATGATGAGGTAAGTAATATGAATTAATTTCATTGTTCTCTTCATTTAAAGACATATGGCCTAAGTTTAGGTATTCTTTCATGAAGTCAATGTATCTTGTTTTGAAAGGAGGATCACGTGCAAATCTACGTTCCAATCAGTGCTTCCAGATACCAAAAGTAAAATTACAGTGTTGCCAGTTAAAAAATACAGGAGTTTCTAAAAACAATACAGCAGATTTCAAAATCGATTAGAGTAAAATTACAGTAAAATTTAGTTTAAATATTGATAGAAAAATAAGCTGCTTTATGACTTTGTTTATCAATACAAATTGCTATAAGTTATTAAATAAATAAAAACATACATTCAGATACAAAAAAAAATTTTTATTTTCTTATTCCATAACAATTTGCTCATAATTTTCATAAATCTTTGCTGTCATCCTTGAAATCATTTCCTTAGTTAGATTGTAATTCACGCAATTTTCGGAAGTCCGCCGAATAGTTTGCTGAGCTAGCATGTTGCCTTTGATGGTATGGGGCTTAAATCTTGGCAGCACTGGGAACAGTGCCGATAAAGACTATAGTCTATTTTCAGATAAGCAAGAATCGGGGTTCAACTTTGCGAATGAGCTCAAAACTGGGTCATTCAAACTGTATCTTTTCCGAATACCCACGCATGCCTTAACGATAAAATTCAGGCATTTCTGTTTCATCACTGTAACTTCTTCGGTACTTGCATGTACTTGCTCTGGGAGAGAAACTTTATTAGCAACATCAAATCCCAGGTATATATCTTTCAGATTTATTAACTTTATATGATTCGGAGTTATGTATAAGGATAACAGTTCTCTGTATAGCTCTGACATTTTGTTATGGGCTTCGATAATAACCGGATCTTCGTTTTGAAAATATAAATTGACGCGGGTAAATTTTGGCAGCATCCAACATAAAAAATAAAAATATGCCTTGATGATGTGATCACTCAAAAGAATGTGAATGGCTTGGCAATCTTGGTCTTCCAGTCATTTATCGTCAAAGTGCAATAGCAAGGCGTCCCATCGCTCCCAAATTCTGTTCACAACACTGGATAGAGACAAACAACGCGTCTGTGCTGGGCGTAGCAATTTGTGTATGTTAGTGTCTGTAAATGCTTGAAATTCTTTTGACTCTGCTTGACGTTTGCTACTATTTTTGAAGTAATTGTATATCAATCGAGTCAGTTTTTCTGCATCGTGAGGCAATTCTTTGCAAGCGTTGGAAGCCCACAAATGTAAAGAATGATAAAGGCATTTGATCACGATAATACCAGGGCATAGTTGTCTAAATCGTGAGGACACTGAATTATAGCAGCCCATCATCGTATTACATCCATCGGAACCAAACCCGATTATATTTTCTAAGGGTATATTTTTGCCTCGAAATGATTTTATTATTAAATTAAATAAGTTCTAAGAATAGACTGATGATACGTCCTAAATTAGAATCATAATATTTGACTACAACACACACTGTTTTCACACTGGCAACATCGGTACTTTCGTCTACCATTATAGAGAACTTTACGCGTTTTACTTGCGATTTTAGAATCTGGAAAAGCTTTTTGAAGTAAATCAACGAGATGATCCATCACTATGTGCGATATTTTATGTTGTGCCATAAAAGCCGATAATTTTAATTCTGTAATTTTCCGCTAATCATCATCACTTCCACGTTGCTGACTTTTAAAAATATTATCAATGGTACGCACATGCGATAGGCCAGGAAGACGAAATTAATGCTTATCACTTTCACTGTCTTTTAATAGCACCCAGATCGGCAATCAAAGAAGAATCACAAACAGTGCAAATGCATTTATAAGCCGACTTTTTAGCACGCTTCAACCACTTACGATAGTCTTGTATTTGGACTCATTCATCACGGAATTGTTGCCGATATTTCTTTTTAGCTCTTATGGGACCAGCATCGCAATGCACATCACTTTCCTTACTGCTTGAGCTCATTTTTACAGTAATATCGCTAGTCGCTATAATTTATAATTTAGACTATTTCACATCACCCAAACAATTAAAAAGTTTTATTCTTAAATAAAATGTATGCACCATGGCAAAACCAGTTTAAATGTAATGAATTAGACGAAAATGCAATGTTCCTTTGTAAGACAGAGACTGCTACTGATTGCTAATTGCGTCCCAGGGTGCTCCACGTTAGTTACGATTTGCCAGGGAATTCCCCGCAACTTTGTTACAAATCTACTGTACATTGTCTATGGATAAAGGTCAGTGGGTGTCAAAGAGAATATAATCACTACCAAAGATAATATAATCACTACGTTTGCTGGAGGTAGATTATCTGCGTTCCGTTTTACGTATTAAAATTTATAAAGCTATATGAAAATTAAATACAGTATATTCTATATTAATGCAGTATAGTATACAGTAGGTAAGTCTAAAATACAGTAGATCTACTGTAATTACAGTGAATCTGGAAGCACTGGTTCCAATGATAAAAATCTCGACATGGCTTGCTCATGAGAACTACCTAGTAATTGTGGTGAATGTTTTAATGGTATAGTAACTATGAACCGACCGTCACTTTGACGGGTCGTTGTATTTTTAAATGACTGTTCACACTCGTGATCTTTCTTGCAAAGTGTGCGAGATGAAGTGACTGTTTCCAATTCAAAGTATCTATTCAATTGTTCTTGCAACTCAAAGTCGTGTGAAAACTGGCAATGGACTGTATTCATGTGTGTTTTTTGTATGAAAAGGGATGGAGCCCGAGACTAGCCATCCTAGTTTTGTTTTGTTTAAGAATGGTTTGTTTTTTCCTAAAGAAATGCGTTCTGTATTTAAAATACGCCAAAAAGTATCTGCGTTCAATAAAATATCGATACTCGATGGCTTATAAAAATGTGGATCGGCGAGATGTATGTTTTGTGGAATGTTCATTGAAGAACAATCGCTTTCAATGGTTGGCAATGATTGAGTGATTTGTGGTACTATATAACAATTTATGTCTTGTATGTATGGTTCAAAAAGTGATGAAATTGTTATATAACACCGATTTTGTATGAGTGATGACTGACTGTTCAATCCTTCCATAGAAACTGATGTTGACTGTATAGATAGATTTAATTTATCACAAAGATTTTTTTTTATGAAGCACGAAGTGCTTCCATTATCCAACTAATCACGTATTTTATATTTTTTACCATCAGGGGTAACAATGTCAACAACAGCTGTAAATAAGAGAACATAACATTGATGTGTGGATGAAAGAGCAATATTTGTTTGTGTAATTTGTGGTTGTGTGCTTGTGGTATTCCCTTCCTGCGCCACACAGTTGTTGCTCTCCCTGGAGGCCGGTGAAGTTACAGCTTCACGGGGTTCCAGGTGAAGCATAGTGTTATGTTGTTAAGAACATACCCTGCAGGAACCTAACTTACATTTGGTGTGATCATGGCCTGTGCGTAAACAATTAATGCACAATTTTAATTGCTGCACCCTTTGTATGCGTATTTCTATTGGTAATGATTTGAACTTAGTTATAAATTGTATGATTATTCTTACACAACGGGCATGAGAGGTTGCGTGAATGTTGGTTGTATAAATGTTGATTGTAGAAATGTTGATTGTTTGAATGTTGATTATATGAATGTTATTTGTAAGTGGATGAAGTACGAGTAGAAGGAGTGACGATGAATGACCTAGGTTTTGTGTGAGTGATATCGCTATAATTAATAGAATCAGGCGTTACTTTGCGGAAATCCATTATATAAAAACTTGTAGGAAAATTTACTTCGCAAATATCCGCGTTATAAAATAAAATGATGTGTCTTACCTAGTATGAAGAGCACCTCCCGCCCTCCCTCAATTGCGTGCACTATCCCCGTCACCACTAATCCCAGCACCGCTACTCCCAACACCACTACACTAGGCAAGACACACTACTGACGATAATACGACACGTGTTTCATCTCTACACGAGGCATCCTCAGGTGATATAGACTCTACGGTGGCTAACCGCTAAGTGAGCGACGAGCCAAAACAAGTGCCTTTTATACAGACCGATGACGCAACCTCTTTCTACTTAAGGAGCGAGCGACTGCGTCATGCGATAAAACATGCGACCAATCACCGCTGGACTTACGCAGCCGTTTGTAAAATTAAAAACAAACCGCCGCGCAACGCCCACCCTCCAACCTCGCAACCAATCGCCGATCACCGTGAGGGTGACAAACGACCATATTGCGAGGCTCTCTATTATTAGAGAGCAGGCTTAAAGATATTTAAGAGAGGTGAGTTAGTAACATTTGTTTGTTCATTCAGCAATGCAACGGTATTATTATTACTTTTTAATATCTCGAACGGATTCACTGTTATACCACTTCGAGTTGCTCCTCACGGTTTCTTTGTTTCTGTAAATCTGGATGGATGCTGTGAAAAGCTATGAATGAGTGCGATGATTGCTGTCTTTAGCTTCTGTAGGTGAAGAATGTGAATTTGTAGGTGCCTTCTTTGGCGTGATGAATCAATGATTTTGATGATTTATGCTGCGTAGATGGGCCTTGCCGCTTTTGCCTAAACAGGATAACTTGAATGATGAAAATTGGATGATGAGTTCCACCACGTAGATGGGCCGCGCCGCTTATGCCTACGGGGGATTTCTTGAAAGCTTGATGATGGGTGAAAGCTTCTTGAGTGTGTGATGAGCTGGCTATGGTTGATGAAGTGAGCGAATTGTCCGTCAAGTTTAGCCCCAGTTATAAGACACGTTGGCACGACACTTGCACGGCGCTTCCACAAATTGGCCGATGTCGCCGCGGGTCTATTCTTGCGCCGATTATAATGTAATCCGTCTCGATTGGACCAGCAATAAGGAAGCTTCTTCGGACAATTAAAATAAAACTTGCTGTTGTGTTGAAAATATGTATATATATATATATATATATATATATATTATATCGATTCCACAATAAATAACTATAGAATTGACACTGACTCTAATAGCAGAAATTGTGGACACGAACTGAATCGGTGGGGGAGGCGTCTTAGGCTTGACCAGATAGTGTGATCAGTTTTGTTTCGAAAAACAAAACTGATCACACTATCCATGAAAACAAAACTGATTACACTGTCCAAGAAAGACATCAATCAGGTGACGAAGTATCACACTGATCTTTTTTGGGATTGAAGAATCCCAAATTAAAATGCTTATTGACAATGTCTCGGTATTGTTGCTCAATAGCACCCATAGTAAAATATATCGAAGCATCAAATCATTCTCTATATAGCTGAGAACATCCTTGAGATGTTCCAGCTCTTGATTCCAGTTCTTCACTGCCATCCAGCTAAAATTTCGTCGAAATTTTGCGGATATAATGTGATTCAATAGAAGCATAGAATCGAATACGGTCACATACAGTTTTGACTGTGCCATGCTTTACTATTTGATAGTGGTTTGCATGGCGTCCACTTTATCTTCTTCTATTATACTGCCATCATATTTTTTCCCAAGCTGTTTTAATAATTTTTCCACTAAGCATAGTTCATAAACATAGACTTACAAACGTTAACCATTTCACTCTGGCTCTGGTTTAAATTGGGTGTTGATACTGGCAGAAAAGTTGTAAGTAATGGGTGTTTTTTTAGAGGTATAGAACTTTGAAATGGAATAAAACAAACATGTTTTTTTTATTGACATGAAATTTACTTTATTCGAAAGACAATCTTCTGGCATTATAATTTAAATATGACTTCTGGCATATGACCGCCATGGCTGGCTCGGTCGTAGTCTAATCTGGAGGTCCAATTTTCGATAACTTTTTCCAACATTTGTGGCCGTATATCGGCAATACCGCGCCGAATGTTGTCCTCCAAGTGGTCAATCGTTTCGGGCTTATCGGCGTAGATTTGCGACTTCACATATCCCCACAGAAAATAGTCAAGCGGCGTTAAATCTCACGATCTTGGAGGCCAATTCACGGGTCCGAAACGTTAAACTATGCGGTTACCAAACGTTTCCTTCAATAAATCAATTGTAGCACGAGCTGTGTGACATGTTGCGCCGTCTTGTTGAAACCACAACTCCTGCACATCATGGCTGTTCAATTGATGAACGAAAAAGTCAGTAATCATCACTCTATAGCGGTCACCATTGACTGTAACGTTCTGGCCAGCATCGTTTTTAAAGAAGTACGGACCAATTATTCCACCAGCCCATAAAGCACACCACACAGTCAGTTTTTCTGGATGTAACGGTGTCTCAACATACACTTGAGGATTATCATCACTCCAAATACGGCACTTTTGTTTATTGACATATCCATTCAACCAAAAGTGAGCTTCATCGCTAAACAAAATTCGCTTATGAAAATCGGGATCGTCGGCAATCTTATTTTGGGCCCATTCACCGAATCTACGCCTTGCTAAGTGATCGCGAGGCTTCAATTCTTGCACGAGTTGGATTTTGTAAGCACGCAAACCAAGATCTTTCCGCAAAATCTTCCATAAAGTGGATGGACACATATCCAATTCCTGTGCACGATGGCGGATAGACTGATTCGGGTCTTCCTCTACGCTACGCTCTACAGCAGCAATGACTTCTTCTGTACGCACTGTACGACATCTCTGTGGATGCGTATTATCATTTAGAGTAAATGTGGCGCAAAAACGTCCCATAATTACGAATTATTGCTCTGATGGACGATTATGTTGACCGTAAAATGGACGTAATGCGCGATACGTATTTCGAACAGAACCATGATTTTCAAAATAAATTTGCACAATTTGGAAGCGTTGTTCAGGCGTCAGTCTATTCATGTTGAAATGCCAAACCAAACTAAACATAAATCACTTGACAAAATGGCCGCCAGTTAAAAAAGTTTTGCCAACTTAAAGTTCTATACCTCTAAAAAACACACTTTATTTAGATGTATAATTCCGATTGTCGGGTACCTCACGATTTAAACATCTTTTCTTTTACTTCTTTTTTAGAGTACCTCACTACAAAATGTAATAGTTTATCCCGGCTTCCTAAACTACAAAAGTTCTGAAAACAATAGTACATTTGGTCATGAGATATCTTTTTAAGGCACCGATACCGGCATTTACACGGTATGCCTAAAGTTTTGTCATCGACTATGTTTCTCTTTTTGGTTACGTATTTTTAGGGATATACTTACTTACCAATATACGGCGCTTACTTTTGACGTCTGACTATTCAGATGTAAGTCGTGATTGTTTCTTTACTATTTTCTTGGTTGCACTAGATGTGTTAGTAGCTGAAGGCGACTGCGTACATTGCTCATGGACAGAACAGAAGGAATCACTACAATCTGTGTATGAGTTCAATGGAGAAGGCACAGGAATCGGAAAATTAGGTCCTTAAATTGAAGGCTCCAAAGCTGATTGCGGTTTCGGAGTTCTTAGCTATGTGCAGGCTTTAATGGAATTGATTGGTTGTGTTTAGAATTTTCAGTTACATGCAGTGACTTTAGGCTAGTTTTGTCGGAAGTAACGATGGGCGTACACGACCAAACGCGTCCTCCCATACCTCAGCCGTATCTTGATGGATTTTCCCAGCTTCTTGCAGTAGTGGCGATTGGGTTACAACTGCACGATTGTCAACTTTATGTTCTAGAAACAAAAATAAATATATTTCAAATATTGCCTCAATGAAACCAAATAAATATCTCATAATAGTCAGAAGTAGTCTAAATAAATAATTTATCTAAAAATAAGATAACATATCATAGACCTTATCACATATATTAATTTTTCTTTGTTTCCTTGTTTGTAAGATAATTAATATTATAATTAATATTTTATATGGGTTACCAAAACTACATAAAGATCAGGTTCCTATCCGTCCAGATGTATCATATATAGGTGCACCAGCTTATTTCCTTGCTAAAAAGTTAAACTTCCTTCTGCGGGAGAAATCTGGATTCGATGCAACTTACAACCTTAAAAATAGTTTAGATCTCATTTCCAAGATTAAAGATATCCGTATTCCACCTAAATCCATGTTGTTATCTTTAGACGTCTTAGATAGTCTTTTCACAAATGTCCCATCCCCAGACTGTTTGCGTATACTCGCAGATCTCTTTAATAAACGTCGTCTACATCCCGGGGAAACAAATGATCTTCTAAACTTAACCTCTATCTGTATGAAACAAAACTATTTCCGGTTTAATAACCACTTCTATCTTCAAAAAGAAGGGCCGTGGGTTCCCCTCTAAGTCCTCTTATGGCGGACATTTTTATGGATAATTTTGAAAAACAACACATAGTTGTCAATCAAAATATCTTTCTTATACTATTATCGATATGTAGACGGCATAATTATTTGCTGGACTGGCACAAAGAGGCAACTGGATGTTTTCCTTAATAAAATTGATAAAATCCATGACAAAATTAAATTTAAGCTTGAATTAAAACAAGATTTTGTCCTTGATTTCCTCGACTTAACAATAACAAGAAAAGAGTCGTTACATGAATTTCAAATTTATCGTAAGCCAACTCATACCGACACGGTCATTCCTGCGTCATCATGTCATCCGTGGCAACATAAATTAGCCGCTTTTTATTGTTATATTAATCGTTTGTTTACTTTGCCATTAAGTAAAGAAAATTATTTAAAAGAGCTTAATATGACTTATCAAATTGCGGTCTCTAACGGTTATTCAAAGAATATCATTGACAATATAATAAAAAAGAAACAAAAAGTTGTCGTACGCAATTCTCTGTACGCGGTTAAGTCTCAAAGTGATCGTCGATATGTTGGCAGTTTGACCTACTTAGGTTCCATATCTGAAAAAAATAGCTAATACTCTTCGTCAGAGTGGCGTTTACGTGGCATTCAAAACAAACAATTCGCTTAGGAATATCTATAATTATAAAAATAAGTTAGATATTCGTCTAAAGCCTGGTGTTTATAAACTTCTTTGTGACGAATGCCAATCCGTTGACGTGGGTCAGACTGGTTGCAACTTCGAAACACGTTATAAAGAGCATTTAGCCGCGTACAGGAATTGTAATCCCGATAAATCACATTTTGCTAAACGTCTCTTAGACACTGGACACAGCCTAGCCAATGATCACTCCTTTAAAGTCTTACATACTTGCAATGACGGGGTACGACTGTGTGTGCAGGAACAGTTAGAGATATTAAAAAGTAATAACGGTAACGTTGCACTGCTGAATGAACAAACAAATGTTTCCAACTCGCCTCCCTTAAACATGTTTAAGCCCGCTCGCAACATGGTCGTTTGTCACCCTCACGGTGCGGTGGTCAGCGTTTGGTTGCGTGGTTGTAGGATAGGCGGACGTTTCGCAGTAGTTTGTTGTTAATTTCACAGCAAATATCGGCGTACGTTAGGTGGTGATTGATCGCATGACGTAATCGATCGCTACGTAATTGGAGCGCGGTTGCGTCAGCAAGTAGTATAAATAGCAGTAGTGTGGGCTCGTCGCTCACTTAGCGGCCAGCCTCCGCAGAGTCTACTTCACCCGAGGATGCCTCGTGTAGAGGCGAAACACGTGTCGTATTTTCGAAAGTGGTGTGTCTTGCCTAGTGTGGTAATGCTGGGGGTGTTAGTGCTGGGATTCACGGCGACAGGTATAGTGCGCGCGATTGAGGGAGGGTGGGAGGTCTCCTTAAAACTGGGCCGGACACATCATTTTCTTTCTTTACGTACGTTTAAATTAAGCAAATTAGTTTATAACAACCCCATTCCTTGTTTTTGATGAGAAGGTAAATTTTACTTAGAATAAAGTTCTATATGCTCATGGGACCATTTAACTTCATTGTTGTCTGTTAAACTTTTGTTAGTAAGAAATATTAAAAAATAGTTATGCTAAAGTAGTCTTTATACTCAAAATATCACTGTTAATATAGGATGTTAGATTAACTTACCTGAGAAATCCAATTGTTTAGGCCAAATAATTAATATTGTAAAAACTTGGATTCAAGACGCGTGTCTCGGCGTTTTCGCCCGATGGAATTTAAAGGTCACCTCCGGCCCCCTCTCTCGGGCGGTTCTCTCGGCCGAGCGCCAGTCGCTCGACGCGTGGGCGAAGTTAGTATTGTTTGCGACTGTTAGTTGGTTGCGCACAGCCGGTGTGGATTAGACGGTTAAAAGTTGCGCGCGTAGCCGCCTCTGAATAGTTAAATTTGAAGTTGTCTAATCTCGTGCGTTTTGCGTGACAACAAGGCTGGTCTCATATAATTATTGTTGTAACAGTTTTGAGTAAATTGTGTGCGTCTAATTTACTATCGAAGATTTGGGTCTCGTTAAGACCGCCTCGAATTGAGTTGTCTGTTTTGAGCGTTTTAAGTGATAACGAGGCTTATCCTTAAGTTTTGAGTGATTAATTAAACTTCTACTGCCATTAATTTGCGTCGACGAGTCGCTTTGTGGCATTTTAATATCGTGCGAAGGAATTTTGCTTTGTCGTGTAGAACGCTGAACTTTGTGACTCGAGAGAAGGTCGCGTTTGTATTCTATTATATCGAGCCTTTACCGCCGTTTTAGCGCAACCGACAAAAAACAAATTTTACAAGAGAAGGTTTTTTTAAAATATGTTTTAATAGAAATGTGCTAGTAAATTGAAATTTTACATACATTATTTATTTTCAGACATTTACATATATAATGGAAAAAATACAAAAATATTTAGTATTTAAGCTACTTATGTCGCTTAATTTATTTTTGCTGTCATAATCTAAGGTTGTTTTGGCATTTACGATAAAAATATCCATTAATATTACTAATACAATAAACTATATTTTGATAAATGAATTGATATTTTAAAAGACGTTTAAACGAAATAGTTATAAAATATTGAAAATGAAAATTTATTTCTATTTAACAATTAGAGTAACGAGATCAATCAGCATAATTATAAACTTAACTAGTTATTTAAAATGAAATAAAGTATTTCTTCTCGTATGAATGATCTTAGCGCGTTTTCACTGAACACCAGGGTTATCATGGTTTTTACACAAAACATTAATTCAATAATTAAATCAATCATTTTGATTAGTGAGATCAATATTGTATTAATATAAAATTAAATTAAATATTTTTAATTCTCCTCATCTTCATCTGTTTCAGCTAAAGCATCACGTACGTTTTCATCATGCTTCATACTTAAATATTCTTGATGGTATCTGTTTGGAATGACATTTTTGTTACACAGATCCTGTAAATCTTTGTATTTAGCTAATGAAAGTTTGAGCTCTTCGGCGTATAAAGGTGTAGGTCCCTTTTCCACAATAGCTTTGTTTGCTCTCGATCTGATGATGAAATCCATGTTTATTTCGTAATTGTCACTAACTTCGAAAAAACCGTATTGAAATTTAACAATAGGATTATTTTTATGAAATTGCACCACCCTTAATGAATAAAAATTAATCTTAAATTTTGCTGGTAATAAAGCTTGTGAAAAATTCTTCCAATCCATGAAGTCTCCATAGTTTAAAACATTTACGTTGTAGTTTCTAGGCTTATTTCTAGCATTAGTAAGCATAGTTGGCCACTCAGAAGGAGCCCATACTGTTTTATTACGCACAAAACTTTCAATAGTGCTATGAATTGAGTCAACAGGCATCATGGTGTGTCCCGGTAAAAGATAAGTTACCTTTATTTTCGTAATAGTAATTGCAGTTTTCAAGA